AAGTACGTGTGATTACTGAGCCACTGGGACCTGAAGTAATTGGGTTCTCATCATTCTATCCTAGACCATCACTAAAAGGCCACCTTTTTGTTTAAAATGGAGCTGGAAAAACAAAAACAGTGTAATATCTATGTTAAATGAATCAACAGTGTAATTACGTTGGGTAACTATCTCTATAACAATTCCAATAAAAAATAGGATTTCTGCTCAGAAATCACATGTCCCCTGAAAGTGACAAGAGCCCAACTCCTGAAGGCTCTTTCTCCTGGGCACCAATACTGCTCACCACATCATCACTCTCATCCATTCTTCTGACATGAGTCCATTTAAACTGAATTACTTGCCTTTTTGAAAGACATTGTATTTTAATTTATTTTAGTTGGGGTTTAAAAAAACATCTGGCCTGGAAAACTAAATTTTTTCCATTTCTCTTGTCCCTGAGGAGTTTATACTAGAGCCATGCTACCAGTAAGAGAGATGGAAAGTCCCAAAGACAATATTAAAGCAGATCTGGTTGTTCACTAAGAACAAGAAATTAATATGCTCTGTTAAAGAAGTCCTATTACATTGATTTTTTGAGCTTGAGCTTTGATTTCTTCCCTTTCTCAGAAATCTAATTACTCATTCTTACTTTCCCACTGCTGATGTAAGACAGAATCTCAAATTCCTTTTGTTCTTTTAAATTGTATTTATTTCCTCTATTAGATATTGTGGTGAATGTTCAGCTTCAGAGTCTTTGAAGCTGTTTTCTGACATTTTCATGGCCTATTCATAGATAGATGGAAAGATGACCAGAAGCCTCTTAGATCTTTCCATTACTCAGTAATTATTTTTCTTATCTGTTTTCCTGGGCATCTCCTGCTTTAAACAAGAAACTTTGCAAAGAAGGATTTTAAATTGACTTCCATGGTGACAGGCAGACAGGTCTACAGAAATATTCAGCCTATACCTTATCAAAAGTGTTAAAAAAAAGGCAGCTTAAAGAATGACTTTGGGAAAATAAATAGGTAAGTACTACAATTTATGGCAGTTAGCCATATTAGCTTTTTCTCTTTTGATGATGCTTCCATTTTCCTTAGCTCCAGTGCAGACTGAGATTTACAAAAGGAAAATTTACTGTTGTGGAATACATATAAACTGATAATGTGCTTTGGAATTATTCTTGTGTAGTCAAACATATCTTGGGAGTAAAAATAAAGAAAGCACTAAGTAGCTACAACAATGATTTAGAAAAAAAATCTCTCTCCTCTACTGTGTAAAAGTATCTTTTGTATACTGGAGGATACCAAGAGTAAATGACAGTAAATCTGGGAACACAACTATTTTCCCCTTATATTGTATATCTCTGAAATTAATCTCAGATATAAGAAAAAGAAACCAATCCTGTCAAGCTGTTTATGGTATATAGATTTATCAAGATTGGATTATATATTATATACATTTCAAACACCATCTTAAAGCAACTAAAGAAGATCCATACTATGGAAATTCACATAATACATCAATTCTTGACAGGAAAAGATAAATTATTTGGAGATTTCATCAGGAAAAAGTTTTTACAGCATAGTTGAAAAAGGATAAGTCAATCACGTGGAAATAGAGTAATAAAATTGTCTAAGAAGAAGACAATGTTCCTTATGGGGAAGACGATTGTAAGAATACAGGAAAAAAGGACTTATCAAAGAAAAATAAACTTTTCAGCCTTTGTAAGAAAGTTAGATTCTGCCACTTTCTGACAATGAAAACTCAGATTGTGGTTAGCGCACTTTAGTATTTTTGTTTGTCATAGTTAACATCGGAAGATTACTCAGGAGGTGGAGAGACAGGTCAGGCAAATGTGGGCATTGAGAAGGATGGGAAGATAAAAGAACTTGCTGCAAAGAGGCAAGAAGTTTCTGATAAGGATACCATGTCCTTTCAAATTAAAAAGAATAGGAAGATTTTAAGACACCATATTCAAAAGAAACTTGACTTCATCATAATAATAATTCATAAGGCAGTAGACTTAAGAGTGATTTCTAAAATGTCAGAAATAGACGAAGTCTTGACCACAAAAGATTTTACTCTTCCTGCTTGCCATGGAGTAAGAGGCAAATCACCTAAAATTAAAGTTCTCATAGGTGGTCCCTAATTGGATGCGTTTCATTTTTCTAATCTTGACTTGGGAGCCAGGGATCTGGTTTGAAAAAATACTGAAAATTTACATCTGTGGCTCATTAAAGACAGAAGTTATTTAAGGACAAGTACAGCCAACTTTGGCCACTCTCCACTGCCTGGAACTAAGCCACCTGAAACAGAGAGACAGACAGACAGACTCAACCTCTGAGAGGAATGTTTAACCCTCATTATAAAATTGAGAAACTGAACATCAAAGACAAAACTAAAATTTGGCAAGACAACTTTCATACTTCTGTGCTCTTGCATCCCAGCCAATAAACTTTCCTGGATTCAGAAGTGACATGTCCCCTTCTTTCTGACTATATTTTGGACCAATAATAATACATCTGTCCATATTGGGCAGATGTAATTGTCCTCTTTTTGCACTGGAACTGTTATTTCTTTCCCTATATTTATTTTTCTAGCCCATGGTGGGAATTATAAATTCTGGAGCTAATTCCAGGAAAGTCAGTCCTGATCTACATCAGGAAGGCACACCCTAACTCCAACCTGATTTTCTGCACTGCAATCCTCAAAATTTAAAACATGAACAAATAGGTATAAGTCTTCACAACATGTAATGATGAGTATTACAGACAAGAAGAGGAAATCAGTATTTTCAGAGTAGGAATGCCTAAACTGAAGCATACATCCACATGTCAATAACAAAGGAAAAAGTATGTTGTTCATTGGAAGAGCACCATTCATCAGAATAATTGGAGGAACCCTTTCAGGGAAAAAAAAGTGGTGTCAAATGTAACTGTAGTCATCATACACAATCGTGGGAGCAATTTAAAATTAAAAGTCTGGTCTGGAGATGGTAAAAGTGATTAACTGCTTACTGAAGGTGGCTATCCCAGGTACCTTAAAAGTAACTTAAATTAGATTTCTAATACCTATACCGCTAAAAACATATACTTGATGATATTGAAAGAAAAAGAGGTTAAGGCTAGATATTCAACCTCAAGTCTGAAATTCCCTTAGTTCTGCATACTTGACTTTTCCAACTTTAACCCTATTTAGGCAGGTTTTAAATTTTATTTTATACAGTGGATATTTGTCCCTTTTAAGGTTTTTATGTAATCCAGCCTTTCAAAAACCTAAAATTTACGGGTTTCTGTATACCATTAAAAAAAACCCAAAAAAACCAAAAAACCACTAATGCCTTATTCAGAGCAGCTCAACACATGTAGAAAAAATTAACAAAATTTTTATGGGCAGCCCCAAAGTTACAAACTAAAATTTCCATATGGCAAACAATGTGACAACATTTCATCTTTTTCTGCTGATTTCAAGGAAAAGTTATACCATGACACAATTACATGTAATTACATGATGCCAAATCTTTCCTGCATTGTGTATTCCACTTGTTTTTTCAAGCAACATTCTGTAACTCACAGAATTGCAGACTTTCTCATTACCACAAGCAAATTTTTTTTCACAGAAGGTTTTCCCCATGTCTACAGGAAACTGTCAAAATATCTGTGCTATAAAGATTTTCTCTTAAAAAAGAGTGGAACAGTAAGATTGTCAGAGTATATGTGCATGAAGTATACGAAGATTAGCTTCATATTTTACTATATGATTGATTATATAATTAGGAAAATGTCCCAAAGTATTTTTCTTTTTAATTTAACAAAATACCATATTTTGATATTTGGTCTAGCATATTCTCAAATAATTTTATAAATTTTTTTGTATCTGCCACTTCTACTTTTATATTTAGTAGTTTTTAGATTATATTTTAGAAAAAGCTTTAACACAGAGTTTTGCAATCATCAGAAGTTTTATTCAGCTCACTAGCAGAATAAGTGGTGCTTTGCTTTCTTACAATGCTTACTCTATTAATTTTATGTTCTGTCAAATTCAAAACAGGAATAAAAGGATCCAATTTTGACTAAAATAAAGGCCACAACTCCAGAACCCACATCTCCATATCAAAAGGAACAGTATCCAAAGGAATAGGGACCAAAGAAACAGAATAGAGTATCACAATGTAATGGTACCCAAGGACACTGTCAAGCCCTCAATTCAAAACAATAGGTAAACATACTATCTGTGATTTTATGAGCCATATCAGTGACTCAAGAGGCTACACTGTACTTCGAGGTGAATCAAGAACATGATGTATACTCAATTACCAGGGTAAAATATTTATCATCAGTATTTTGCCAAGGCTGGGAAATAAAAGGGTCTTTGAATCTGAGCATCAGGTCGCAGAGAATCATTAATTCAGAAAGGGCCTGAGATACTGGAAGAGGTTGCCCAGAGAGGTGGTGGATGCCCCATCCCTGGAAACATGCAAGGTCAGGTTGGACAGGAGCTCTGAGCAAGCTGATCTAGTTGAAGAAGTCCCTGCTCACTGCAGGGAGGTTGAACTAGATGACTGTTAAAGGTCCCTTCCAGCCTGAACTATTCTGTGACTCTATGATTCTAGGGCATCTTTAGGTCTGGCCCCATAAAAAGACATTCTAGGAAAAGACAGAGGAGTGCAAAAGCTGACAAATCATCAGTTACCCAGGTCAGCTACAAGTGGCAATGCTCTTCTTAGAAGTCTCCTCTGCTTTCCTGCTCTGTCACCTCCCTGTCCCACCCAACATACAAGTCATGCAGCCCCCTAAGTCAGACTGTAGCCAAATGCCACAAATTGTAACATCTCTGTCACAGTTAAAATTTGCATTTCTCATCATTCTTACAATTTTTGTTTCCTCAATTTGCCTTAGTGCATTTTGCTGGACTGCTTTTAATCTATTAAGTCCATTTTGCATCTACTGATGCCAACTAAAATAAAATACATGCAATGAAAGAACAGGCCCATGTCACGCCTGCACAAGCGAACTCACCCTGGCTGTGTGTCATCAGTCACACAATGATATGTAAAAGTTCCAAACATCTGCACACCCAGGATCCCATACAGGAGAAGAAAGAACAGAAGAAAAATTGAAACGCTCCATATTTGCTCTCCAGAACGCCTGATAAAAAGATAAACAGGTCACTAAAAGCACAGGCAATGTGAAGTCTCCTCTGAAAAGAATAGAAAATATGCTCATGCAAAGAGAGCAGTATTTCATCCTGCACAACATTTGTCCTTAAAACTGTTCTCTCACTCTGTGCACATATAGAAAAGGGGGCTGTGATTTATTTCTAAATCAGGGTAATTAAACCAGCTGAAAACTGCAAAGGGTGGAAAAAATACCCAAATTAAATGTGTGAAATATGGCTTTTGTAAAATAGTATTTAATGGCTCATACAGACAAGATACAGTAATGAAATAAATTTGATATTGAATAAAGACCAAAGACTCTTTCACATAACCATGACATGTATTTTGTCATTACATCTTGCACCAAGCACAATTACATGTGTTTCTTTGCATCTCTGTATATGCACCAATATAAGCATACTAGTAACTGGAATGTTCAGGGCATATGCTTATGTAATGTTATTTATAAATATTACCCTACTAAGGTTATTTGATTATTAAATGGCCATATTAATGGAACAGAATTTACTGCCACTGGTTGAAAATTGGTGGCTACATTTATTACCAAAATATTTTAAAATTTATTTAAACATTTGAAAGTTCTGATTGTTCTATAAAACTTGATGATTCCTTAAATATCGGAAATAGCAAGAATTTTTTGGCCAGAACTAAAACTCAGGAGAAAAATGCCCATTAAGCATGAAGGGTTATTGATTGACTACACAGTCAGTCTTCTAAGTCAAAACTTAAATAAGCTCTGTTATTTTTCAGACAAGAGACTTACTTCAAGATATTTGTTATCCTAGTTCTTGGCAGCTCAAAACGAAAATATATTCGGAATGCTCGAATCATAATGAGTGGTCGTGGAATCCGTAACATGCCCCAAGGGGACATTTGGTCAACTATTTCAGCTATTTCAAACACCTAAAACGAAAAGAATCAGTAGTTTGTCTTGAAGACCCTGTCCTGCACCTGTGTTCACTTCCAGAGCTTTTAAAAGTATTAATACTATACACATTTTTTATTTTAATTTTTCATCTTGGCTTACTTTACAGTTTACTTCTACCCCATTTTTTAAAAAGAAAAGTATTTGTAAATACTTTAATTCAGTTCTAAATTACTCTAATGAAAATCACAAAATATACTCTGCCCATGTTCATAATGTTTGAGTCTCAAACAACTCAAGAAGACAGTACAAGCTTGTGCCAGCTGCCTGTTTCTGTGCCAGTCCTACCCCACACGTTTCCCACAACATTGTTGGAAGTATTAATATATTTCCAATATGAAAATCAGTATCTGTTAACATTGCACAGCACTAAGGCTTTTACTATGATATAGATGTGCATGTACACAGGCTGCCTATGAGTTGCAACATAATTATAAACTGTCCATTTAATTCCAAGTGCATGAAAAATTGTACATCATCTCCTAGACTCCATTTACAATATAAGTTTCAGCCAAGGCACAGAACAGGGAACCATTTCCTCAATACTGACAGGTTATGCACTCAATAAAGAGTATTTAGCTGAGTGATTGGGTGCAAATATCTTGTTTTAATCCTTGTCTCTCACTCTCAGAGAGTAACTGCTTGATTTAATTCTTGCTCAAAATACTATGAAACTGGAGAGGGAACGTGGCAATGCATAAACTAGGTAATGTACAGTTCTTATCTATAACAATCAACCTTCATGCTGCATGTGTACAAGGTGTACCTGTACCAAAGTCTCCCCGTGTAAAAAGCAGAAAATTACAGTGTGTCTTAAATTTGTCAGAAATTTTATAAGTGCTTAACAGCAATCACTACAGAACTTTTACAATCCTTATGCTATTGTAAGCTCAATGTCAGAGTTTTCAACCTGTGCTTATCCAGAAAACCTCCTACAGTTAAGGACTGATTGATTTGCAGGACAAAATTTCACCTATACCTTAACACTGAAAATTTTTGCAATATGTCTAAGTTCCTTTCTTTATAAAAAAATACCAAACTGTTTCCAAATGTTCTGGGTTTTTTTCATTGTGCTTTAACATGAGTTTTAGAAAATGTTTTGTTAGGTATGTATTAGTAATACTGCATGAAACCACTCCACTCACTATATCATTACAACCACAAAATGGCAAACATCTACCATTGGAATAATTCTCCCTTTAGGTGCCTGAGCTAGTCACCATGGCACCCTACTAGACTCACTGGAAGGAAATGAGCAGAACTATCACATGGAGTAAGAGAGAAATGTCTCTCTGAAGATTCTCTTTCTGACTGCATAGGGTTTATGTTAACAAACTTCAGATTAAATAAGAAAAAATAATCAAGATAAATTCTACTACTAATGTAGATATGCTGCAATGTGCAATTATAAATCTGTTGAATTCAGCATGGTCGCTTAAAACAATTTTATCCATGGTCAAGTCTACTTCCACAACTCACTTTTATTTGATTGTGCCATGTATTTTTCACAATCAAGGAACTTATTCATTGTAAAAGGAAGTGAAACGATTACCTGCAAAACCAGTGACACCCAAAGACAAAAGACCATGAATCCATCAAACACACACCAACGATCTTTTACGTAGGAGCTATCACCCTACAAGAAAGGAAAGATAAGAAGTTAATTTTTGTTTATTGTCAGAATTTACAAACATTGTAAGTAAGAACTCTTGTGATAATTTCCCCCCTCTCAGCCCCTAAATTATCAGGCTAGCTCAGAGATCCGAGGCTTTGAGGGGAGGAATATCAGGAGATGGCAAAGATTTCCAAAAGAGGCTCTTACCCCAACATATGCTGGTGCAGCTCTCTTTATTCTGTGATGTCCAAGGGAAAGAGCGGGGCAAAAGAGGACGACCAGGAAATGTCAGGGGTTTATCTAGACTTTGGGCAGAGAGGGCTCTTTTGGCTCTCTGCCAACCCTGTCAGGGCAGGAAGGAGGGGTCCAGGGTTATCTGATCAGAGTCACAGGGGTCCCAGGGAATGGGAAAAAGGCATGTCCAAGCGCAATGTAACACTCTTGGAAGGAGGAGAAGTAGTCTTTCCTGTGCACTTTCAAGAGGCTACTTTTGAAAGTCTCCAAAAGCCTAGTATCTGGATTAGAATATGCTGGAAACATATATACACACTGTGTAGGTAAATAAATACTAACTTAATTCCCACGCCGTATTTCTGTATCCAAAAAATTTAAAAAGACTGCTGTATATCAAAAAACGCGCAAAAAATTAACACTAGACTTACTTTTCCATTGTATTTCCCATTACAAAATACTTACACAGGAAGATCAGTGTAAAATGCTAGCAATCTATTGCGCTATTCAATTATTTCAGTATTGTTGAATGGCTTCAATTAAATCAGTATCATTTTACATTCATTTCTTCATAAGTTTTCAATCATGTTCTGCATTCTGGATAAGCCTTGCTATTTCAAAAACACTTGACAGTAACCACTGTAACATCAGAGCATGGTTTTGGTGACAGTCCAATCCAGATATCACTCCTAAAAGGCAGCACGGAGAATTCTGCATCCAAGCTCAGCTTCCTTTATTCTGCACTATTCTCAACCTCTGCTCCAGTTTGCATGTTGCAACATCCTCGTGTTTCACACCATTCCTGACAACGTGCAACACAAGCCCTCTGCTGCAAGCTATAAAAACACTTCTTTGTTGGGCTGCTAATACCTGACACTTCACTTCAAACACTGAACTCAAAGATATAGATTATGGCTGAGTGTTAGATAGCTCTGTGTTCTTCAAGGAGCCCAGAGGAAGTTGGGGAACAACTGCATGTAGAGAGATGAAGCTTGTTGAAAGGGAAACTAGACAAAAATACACCTAAGGAAAGTGGATATCCCATTCATGTAGAAACATATGCAGAGACAATGACAGCGCATCTCAGGGCACAGAATCACACCTTTTTAAATGAAGTTTCCCACATCAGATTTAATACAGCCTTCCCTGCCTTATACACTCTTTGAGTCCTCTTAAGTGATCTCTCGGTGCAAGTGGCAATGTTTGACATCCATTTTTCACAGCTATAATTGGGGAAAAATTATTGTCATGTCTCAAGAATCTTGAAGCCATTGCTGGACTTTGGCCTCATATGTGATCCTGGTTTTATAAATATTTTTCTTTATCTCAGTTATAGTTATTTCAATATTTTTTAAGTCTAAAAGCACAGACAAGATGTTCTGTTTTAATCTAACATTTTCAGTGACATACAGTATCCTAAAAATGATTTATTATTTCCTGCAGTAGGTGACAGCATGATATATTGTGTAAATAGAGACAAAGTATGTTTTAAAAATTTATTTCAGTTGCAAAAATTCTTCAGGGTAGAAGTGAACTGTTAGGGAATCAGGAAAATACATTTAGTCATTTTCAAACCAGAAATAGAGGACAGAGAACTTTGGCACTATTTTTAAACAAAGATTTTCTAACACATAAGGATGTTAAAGTTCTCAATTCAAGAACTATGAGGACAAAGACTGCAAATCAGGGAAGCAACAGAACAGGCACTTTTGCATCATATTTTTAGTCTGTCCTTCCTGAAGAAAGTAACCTTAGGTCCCTACATAAACTCTGAGCTAATCAGTAACTCTTCACTCAGGGCTAGGAGAACTCAGCTATTTAGTGGTTATGCTCAGTACCTGTGAAGCAGAAACATGTTATTTCTCCACAGAGCTTAGCTACTCACACTCTAAATCTCTTACTCTGGAAAAAATCTCCAATGAGATTTGCATCAACATGCTACTTGAGTCCTTCAATTGTGGCTCTGAACAAAAATGCTGATTGGTCTTTCTCTTGCTGAAGAACTCCTTGAAAATTACTTTTCTTTTCTTAAGCATCTTTTGTCTAAACAAAAAGTCTTCCCTGAGTTGTGCTGTGAAGATGTGAGCACGAACTTAGGCAGGAATTCCTGTATTCACCCTCCTCTGAACAACCCACCAGGTTCTCACTGAAAGCCAAATCTTTTTTCAGAAACTGCTTTTTCTCTCCACAATAGGTGAGATATGATTGAAGCAGCTTTGCTGTTTTCTCTTTACAAAGGAAGATGTCATGATCCTTTCCAGTCTTCTCACCAGTCAGGCTGCTGCACCAGCTCATTGCTCTCACTTTCACACCCAGCCTGCTTCCACCGCTACACCCTCCCAGTAAGGGCAGTTTTCAGTGGGTCACCCACAGAAACTCAGTGCACCTGAATTACATCTGAAGAAACTACTCCTTTTAGGGGAGCTTCTGGGCCTTTCCACTTTACATGTAGAGAGGCTTTGGCCAAATCCTATTAATGTCATTTGCCATTTGTCTGGCAGTGGATGTGGTGGGGAATCTTCAATGCTTTTATACTGTCTATTGACATGTGGATGGATGTTAGTTGCTGTTGGAAGCAATTTTAAGGCAGGACCACATTCTGCTTAATGCAAAAATCAGAATATATGTGCTACTTCCATGAAAAATCTAATTCTGGCTAAACACAGGCTAGAACTTTTTCTTAATAGCAATGAACAGTGATTTTCATTCACATTTGAAAAAATCTTTAGGCTGAAATACCACAGTCATGGTCAATGACAGCTCAGACCTGGAAAGGCATACAAATAAATGATATTTGAATGCCTCTGGTGACATCGTACCTAAAATAGCTGAAGTCTTGCAATGTGTAAACCCCACAACCTTTTTCCATTGTATCTGCTGAAATCTGAGAATTATTGATGAAGTTTCATTTAGTATTTTTTTCTGAACACACTATTCCGGAACATGAAGGATTAGTACTGTAGACAAGAAGACTTGTGCAGAGACTAATCAAAAGCTCTTAAGTCATTAAAATTGCTGACTTCCTACTGCCTACAGTGGATAGTGGATTCTTGATGTGCACAGCAAGTCCTGAAAACTTCTCCAGCAACATGATTTACAGCCTATCTAGACAACAAAATCATTTGCCACTCCTCCAAAATAAAACACCACAAGGCGCCAGAAGATCCACTTTCTCAATTGTGCTGAGCACATTAAAGATAAAATGCCTATAGCCATTATTAGGTGTCCTGAACAATCATTATACGAGTTCACAGGGGAAAAAAAAATTAAGACCTAACGCATTGAAAATGTGAGTCAGTACAAACTAAAGAGAGAACCACAGACATAACTAATAACACCTGAGGCAGTCACTCCATGAGAGCCATTACAGTTTGACTCACATGAGAAGGGAAGACTAGACAGACTGCAATTCTTTAATAAATGCTTATTTCATTATCAACCTTGCTGAAAACAAAATACTCTATGAAATTAATCCCCAAATTGCATAAAGAAAACTGCTTGACTGCTAATTTTCTCAAGCAATTTCAGTATCTCGGTGGCAAGGTAAGACAGCTTAGCTAGATGACAGCACAGACATCCCCGAGGTCATTTCTGCCCCGCTTGTCTCGTAACACCTCAGGAACATCTTGGGATGAACAAAAAGTCCCTGAAAATCAACAGCCTCCTCTGCCTCCTTGCTTACCTTCAGGAATTTTTCTATCTTTTTCATCCCTGACTACAACCTGTTCTCTCAACCCTTCCCTCCTGACTCTTTCCAGCTCACTCTGTCTGAAAGCTAAATAAAAGAAGTAATATATTTACCCTGAATAATCAGATTTACCATCATTTGGAAAGGAGTCCTGCAGCATTGGATCTCTCATTAGAACCCTAGTCTCCCACCTTTCCTCACAGTCTCTGACAAACAGGATAGCTGAAAAAATTTGGAGAGAGACCAGCAAGCTCAGTAACAATAAGCTACTGTGCCATTCTGTCATGATCACTGGATCCTGCACTGGTAGTGATAAACAAAGCACATCATCAACTCTGGTACACCCTTCAGATCATCCTGTGGGCTACTTTATAAAGCACTACAAACAAACATTAAGGTATGGAGGCTGACATTTATGGAGATTTTAGGAGCAACAAAAAGAGCACAGGTTGAAATAGAAGGAATAGAGGGAATAAGAATTTGTAATTTTTTTTTCCTCCAGACGCTATGCTCATTATAAAAAAAGCAAGCTAGAAGAGAGAGCACAGCTGAGTTAGGGAAACCAAATGATTCTGCACAAACACTGCTGGGCACAGAGGCTTGAGTGGGACACAAAATTAAATCAGAGCTCAAGGGAGCACCTTGCCTTACCTCTCTCTCTCCTTGCATATGCAGATACATATACACACACAGACGGTATATATCTCCTACCTGGTCACAGACTATGCATACATTTCTTATATTTTTGGTTCATCATCAAACTTTTCTATTTACTTAAAAACCGTCAGTTTATAGTCTGCTTAGTAGCAGAACAATATGGACAATCCAGTCCAGCCCCCAACCTGACAAACACTTTCAATATTTTACTCACACAGTAAAGACAATGAAGAAATATGGCCTAATCAAGAAGGAAAACTTCATCTGACTGTTCTCAATTTTCCATCCCTGTTCTTTTCCATCCCTCAGAATAAAACTATTTCACTAATGTCCTCATGTGTCAAACAAAGGTTGGAAACAAAGGGCGGGAAACAAAAGAAATTGTGAATTGCTTAGTTAGGACCATGCTAATAATTAAAGAAAAACGGAAATATTTTAAATGGGG